GTTAAAGATGTCAGAGCCCACTTATACTGTGACTTCTCAGAATTCAGAGTTTTCTGAGATTAAAATTGCATGCAAACATTCTACACTAAACAGGGCCTTCTCTGCAGTATTTTCTTTTAACATAAGGAAAAAGAATCCAACATAAATTACAATAAGCTCGAAATTAGGTTTCCTCATTTTCACATTCTAAGAAAGTGAGATAAATGAGATTAGAAGTTACCATAAGGTCAGAGCCCACGGATGGCCCAGATTCAATTGCAGCTGCCTGCCCAGGGTGGAAAACATGTCTAAAATAGTTTCCTGACCTTCACAGTCGGATCACCCTGCTGTCTAAAGTTCTAAGCAGGTCTATGTCTATAAGTTACATCCTCGACAGTAGGTAGGACAACCATCATGGCCTAGGAGTCCAGTCTTGTGACTGGTTAGTCATGCTCTGCAGTTTTCTTCAACTGGGGAGGAGTTGATTTTTATTTGTGATTAGGCAAACTCCATATGAACTAGCAATCAGCAGAAGGTGGAGGCACACCCTTCTGCTTACCCAGCAAACCCGATCTTCCCTGTCATTCCTTGCAGGATTGGAGTCATCTGGAAACCTTGAAGTTCAACAGTGTGAAGTCTAAGTCAGAAGAACTTGTGAAGAGGATTTTTAAAGGTTTGGCATCAGTATTAAGACCGTAGAGTCTGTAGCTCATACAGAAAAAGGCATGAGAGAAGAAATCTAATACATTTATTTAAATCTGTCTATCCATCCATCCGTCCATCCATCATCCATCCATCTATTCATCTACCTACATACCTACCTACCTACCTACCTACCTATTCTTGAACTGAGGATTAGATCACACATGCATGATCCCATTACCAGAGAGGTGAAGGTAGGAGGATTAGGATTTCAAATTGTATTTGTCTGAAGGTAATCAAAAACAAGAAGACAGAAAAGTGAGACTAGGACTTGGCAGAGTGAGGAGGAGGGTAAGAGGGGATAGAGGGACAAGGATAGCTAGAATGAGTCATATATGTATATGACATCGACAAAGGAATGAATTCAGTAAAAATTAATTAACGGAAGAAAAGCCTTTAAGAGGAATGGAGAGCAGGCTTGGCATTTAAGAGCACCTCCCTCTTAGGGTAGCTAACAGCAGCCTGTAACTCAGGCTCCAGGCTCCAAGGGTCTCTGATACCTTCTGGCCTCTGCTGGCACACGCGTGCGTGCACATGTACACGCACACACACACACACACACACACACAGGGAGAAGGGTGCTCGTTAAAAATTGGAAATGGAAGTAAATGTTGTTAAAGTAGCTACAGACTGTCCCATCAATCATGGGCTCTACTCCACAGGTAAATATGTGATTCACTTCATGTTTTATGGTTCTGTTTCATATTTCTAAAGGGCTTGTTAGCCTAGTAATTATTATTCAGCCATCTTACACAACAGTCACTAACTTCATGTGATCATAATCGCGGATGTGCTTAGCTTCCTTACACATTCATACGCATTCCCAGTGTCTCCCTCGCCCCACCTTCCACATGGAGCTTTAGTGCAGTTTGGTTCTTGTGTGTGTGTGTGTGTGTGTGTGTGTGTGTGTATTATACTGATTATATTCACACCAGAACGAAGCAGTATTCTATCACATATTTCCTTCTCATACTACTTTGTTTTGTTCTTCCTGGAGTTTTTAAATATACTTTTAAATGTTTATGTACAACTTACTCAGTTACTCAAAACTGCTTTCAAACTGTGTCAGTCAGAACAGTCTAGTTGCTGTAACAGTCCTCAAAATCCCAATATCATCATACAAGTTTTCATCATTCAGAAAAAATAACGGCTGGGATTATGACCTTTTGGGGTCGTAACTTTTCTCCCTCTAGAAACTTTACCATCTTGTAGGGTTTCAGTGTGCTTCTTTTTTTTCTGTATCTGAATGCTCTTGGGGGTGGGGGTGGGGGTGGGGTGGGGTATATGTAGGAAGAAAATGGGTTTTCTCAGAATCCATGTTATGGATGTAGCCTAGCACTGATACCCATCATTCCTTCCACAGCCCCTTGGCTGGAACTTTATTGAATGTGTCCTAACATGCAGTGGAGACAGAATGAAATCTAGAGGGATGCTCCAGAGAGCACCATCTAGAAAGCACCATGGGTTAATTGCCTAGTGCACAGGCACCAATGCTACCTCTACCTTTCTTTTGATTAGAGATGGACCTACTGTAAGACTTCCTCCTGCCTGTCTCCTGGTCTGTTTTCTGAAATCTCTTCTGCAGAACTCTTAATTTTTCTCTCATGTTAGATGTGAGTTTTCTGGGGTTTGTCTTTTCCTCTTTCTTGATTTATTGGTTTGTTTCAGGGAGGCTGTTTTTCAAATGGTATATAGAAGAATGAATAATTTGAAGTACTTGAAAGTATGAAAATGCTAACAATTATTGGCTATTAATAATGGCTAATAATAGCTAATACGTGGCTAACAGTGAATTTGTACATACAATTCTAGATTCAAAGTAAACTCATTTTAAGATGTACAAGCCTTCAAAGAAACACCTAGATTTTCTATTATTCTTGTGAAATTCAGCACAGTTTTTTCCCTATGCAAATTACTTGCTTTGTGGCTCTGGAAGACAGTTTAAACATTTGTGGGTTACTATTAATTTGGAATTGTGCATATTTAATTAATGAGTAAATTTAAAGAGAAACCTTTGATCTCATATGTTCATGATCTTTACTTGTGGAATTCTTCAAACCTTATTTCTTTTCAATGATTGCTTTTCCATCCCTTTCTGAGTAGAAAGAACTCAGATCTGGAATTTTCTGAGATTGTTTTTCATGCTTTTTTTCTCCAACATTTTAGGTAGCTTTTTGTCCTGCCTTGCTGAGGATTTTTCAACTTACCCTTTCGACACTTCTACTAGTTTTAAGCATCTTTAGTAAATATATTTTCAATCTCTAGAGGTTTTGCGTTGCTGCTGTTTTCTATATAAATTTCTTTGTTATTTACTCTCATTGGAAGCAGAGTCAAGGGGCCTGTGCTCAACTCATAATCAGCCAGCCATGAGACTTATTTGCATTCTCCAGAACAGCGGCCTCCTGTCTTCCTGAGGCTGGAGGAAATAGATAAGGGAACTTGGTTGATTACATGACAGTGGACAGGAAACTTCAGATAGAAGCTGTGTACAATGCCTCTGACCAAGCCCCACGCTGGACCGCCTGTCACCAGTCTGTGCCAGTATTTCTGCCCTGTAAAGTCTTAGCCTGCTGGGTTTTGCAAGGAGAATCGCTAATAATTGCTTGTCCATAACTCCACCCACAGACAGGCACCATGCAAAGTGCGTCTCTAATCAGTACCTGCCTCCAGCTGGTTGAACTTCTTCTTAAAATGCATTGCCGTTTATTTTACCTGGTGATGTCTCTTTTATTACCTTTTATGGTTTAAAGATATTTTTAGAAGCTCAAAATGGATTTATTTCCCTGTTCAAGGAGTTCAAGGAGGGTAAAATACAGGTGATGAATTTGACTCTCTGTATCTAGAAGTTTCCCAGTTACGGCATCTGTATACATATCAGGCCTGATCTGTGAAACGAGACAGAAATTTTAACTTTTAAATTTGTGTCGTGTGAACCCCAGGTACCAAAGAGCCTCATACACTCTTTCTCTGTTAGAAGAGCCAAAACAATGTTTACGAGTTAGATGATATTGGAGCTGGAGAAGATGACTCAGTGTTTAAGAGCACTGTTGCTCTTTCTGAGGACCTGAGGAGGCTTTGGTTCCCAGCACCCACATGGTGGCTCTGGTTTCAGGACAGCTGATTCCTCTTGAACACACCACACATGTTCACAGTGCACATACATACATACATACATACGCATATGTATATATACATACATATATATGTACAAGCAAAACACTTATATTCATAAAATAAAATTAGTATGTTAAGACGTTTTACAAGTCAGAGAATGGGGTAGGTTAAGTGCTACTTAAATAGTAAGTATAGCCAACGCCTCTGTAGAGTAAAGTACATTGTTCTAGACTACCTACTAGAATTAGCTGTCCAGAGCCCCACCCCCAAGCCCCATCTTTCTTTCTTTGTTTTGAGTCTCATGCTGCTGCCTAGGCTGACTAGAAACTCACATTGTAACCCTCACTGGCCCTATTATTTTTATCTTCAAGGAGGTCACATCTTTGTGTTTGGGCTATGATTTGGGCCTTCCACAAGAACCTTTCCCTAGCAGATCTTACCGGTGCTTTAAACTCTGAAGCATCAGGTCAGGAATGAGTTAAAAAGTTAAAATCTAAGTCATCATCTGCCGAACAATAACATAAATGCAAGCAACAGGTTTGGGACTATTTTCTTTGCGAAGGAATACGTCAAATGCGATTATATGTATTCGATCTGTGTTCTTACCTTGACCACTAGTCTGTAAATTTAGAGATGTTACAGTATATTAAAAACGTGATGCTCAAAGGCTACCTAGGATCTTTTATTTCCCCCATGGGAAAATCCAAAGTACTAAGTGTAGAACTTGCTATGTACTGTGAACTTAATACATACTTGTTCAGTGGCCTTGTTTTTTTGTTTGTTTTTTAAATTTTATTTAGCAGAAACTCATTGATCCTTCATTGGCTTTTAGCAAGTAAGGATTCCATCGGTGTGGACTGATTCTAATGCCTGTGCCCTAACTTTCAGGATGTCGTTACCTTCTAATACCCAGTCTAATCAGATGCTTTTCTGTGCTCCCTACCTGGAAGCCCACGCACTAGGAGCAAGGGTGTAGACAAGCTCTGTATGAGAGCTAGTCTCCTCACACTGTCCGGGGTTCTTTGAAAGAGATGTCAGTGCAAAGCCAAGGAAATATGTCAATGAAAATGAGCCTGCCACTAGGGCATGCACTCCCTCAGCGTGGAGAATCCACCAGCAGCCAAGTGTGTTTCTTATTGCAGGGTTGAGTCACCAGCCAGACTGGCTCGAGGTGAGCCAGGCACATCCGCGTTAGGACTCAGAGACACGCCTTCTTCTCACACAAACCTTCCAGATCCCAGCCGCCTAGGCGGACTCCCGGGTGGTGCTACCAGCCTTGCCACTTGCAATCTTGACAGGCAGAGGTTGGGGACCGCCAGGCCTTGCACCGATAGGGAGCCACAGGTTGCAGACGCAGGGAACCCTGCCCATGACCGTGACTCTGTGAGGCTGGCAGCCGGCGTGCGGTGGTTGCTGGCGGTCCCCGGAGCTTGGGAAGACCGGAGCGGACCCCGAAACCTGACACCAGCGCCCTCGCTGCCTCCGCTCCGCGGGCTGGTGAGTTGGGGAAGGCCGCCTGTCGGCTGGAATGCGGTTCCACCCACTCTGGGTGCCCGCGCGGCTGCGGGGAAGGGGGGACAGGGAGGACACAGGCCCCGCGCGGCAGCTTTCCAATCTGCAGAATGCCTGGCGAGCATGATCTGGGGGTCGTGCCTGTTCGGATGGCCCCCTGCAAACTCGATCTACATTCTCCTTCTCCTTGTTTTGGTGTGTGCCTATCCTACAGCTGATTAGAACCAACCCAAAGCAAAACAAGAACGCTGGACATCTGTATTTCAAAAAAACAAGACAATTAATAGCAGCAATAAGGAAAGCAGCATTCCGGGAGAAAGGACCTAGAGAGTCTGGCCAGGCAAGAAAGAGGACTTGTGTTAGCACTTCCTTGAGATGATTCAGACACAGAAAGTGAAGAATGCTTTCTGCATTCCAGTGTTTGCCATATTACTTTAGGATTCTGATCAAAGTTTCACATCTAGGGATTGAGTGTACGAAGTGAGTGTTATTGCGAGTGGTCCCAATACACTCACTACTAAGATCCTCCCCACTGCAACATTATCTTACTAAGTCTCCGGAAAAGAGTGTTTCGGTAATGTGTAAACAGTGATAGCCTTCCTAGGAACAGGCTGTGTGGAGTTAATGCCTGAACACCTTACCAGCTTTTTGATGACACGATCTAAAACTAATGCTGTGGACTCCAGCTTAAACGGATTGCGCAAGCAAAGACATACGTCTTGATTTGAGTCTGCTTAGGAGAACGCCCGTAGTTCTCAGTATTTTGTTATATTTATACTTATTTACATATACCTAATAGACTGGTTAGTGGTTATAACTTTTGAAAAATAGAAAAAATATTTAGTTACATTCATACTTATTTACAGATACATACAATGTGCTCATTAGTTGCTATAACTTTTGAAAAGCAGAAAGGACACCAGGATTTTATAAATAGATAAGTTCACTGGATTTAAAAGCTACTGTAATGATCAGTTTAAAGTTATAAAACAAGAGAAATGCTTTTCTGATGCTGTCTTGCCCCCTCCCATAGCAGCTTTTCGTAGTTCCCGGGAGTAATTCCTTACCTACATGAGCTCACTAGTCTTACTGGCAGGAACATCTATGGATCATTGCAAGGTATACACTTCCCTGAGACTCAACATTAAGGAGACTTCCCTACTTAAGGACTGGCTATGAACTGCCATGCCCTGTTACTATCATGGTATTGAATGGGAAAACATTTCAGATAAAACTGGATAAGCCTGTTCTCACCTTTGCCAAATGACAATACAAAGAATCTGTCAAATACACAGCTCTCCCTCCTCATAGCTGGCTTCTGGACTAGGTATGTTTGACCTGATAAGGGAGGTAACCCTGGAGATGAGATCCTCTTAACTCATGACATACCGAATTCTACTATTACCTCTGTTTTCCAGTTCATTCATGTAACTCTTCCTCTAGAAATATCAATGTCAAAGTCCCAGGTGATTCAAGCTGACATCTGCTGATCCCTTCTGGCCCCATTCTTAGTAAGTTTGGACTAAGCTTTCAGCTTAGGTGCTCAGTAGAGTACAGACAGCACACTGACCACTCTCATGAGGTCCATCTCTTGAAACAAGCTCAGCTTCTTCTGTTGAGTCACCTAGGCTAGTTAACCAATAATTCATCTCTGAGGTGATTACTTGTTATGCTGAGATGCAGAAGAACAATTCCAAAAAAAGAGACAGGGCAAACCAGATGTTTGCCGTGAATTATTTGTAGAGATGACTACCAAAGAGGAGCGATTAGCTTTCTTCATGGTTGCATATATGCAGTATGGAGTGGATGTTCTGTAATGCAGGAAGTGGTGACATTACAAGATGGACCTGTTGTTAGAACTATATGCTGAGGTGTTTTCAGGCCCTCCTCAGTCATTATTGCTGTTCTTCCAGCATTGGGCTTCTCTTCCTCCGTGAATAAACAAATGACTAGTGCATAGTAGCTTTCTGTTTAATAAGTGGCTGAAAGAATTATTCCATAAATTCAATATTTTTAACTTCCACAGTATCTTGAGAAAACAGTGTATTTGGTTACCTGTTTGTTTATTCAAAATGCATTTCAAATAGCATCCCTTGCTGTTCTAGGCTCTCTGTAGATAGACACGGACAAAATAAGCAGGCATCCCTAACCCCATGGATCTTATTATTTATCTGGAGACAAAAAGCTAACAAGATGAACAGGTTAGATCTATGACACATGACTCACAGATGCTAAAGAGTATGGGGCAGGAGAGAGTTATTCCATAAGTTTCAGTTGTGTGGGGGTGGGGCGGGAGTATCAGGTTGCAGATTAAGTACCAGGGTGAGCCCTACTAGGAGGCTATTTCAGTGTTGATCTGGAGCAATTGAGGGTGTGAACCTTTGGAGACTTCCAGACTGAACAGCCAGACACCTGGGATTTGCCAGTCCTGTTTCCTGGTACTATTAGGGCTAGGCCATAGAGGGCTCTGAAGATGCTAGTCAGTTGATTTGAAGTTTTCACTTTGGGTAGAAGGCTATACTAAATAGCCTGTGAAGTATTTTCCAATACTTGTCTCGCACATTATAAACATTAGTATTTGTCTAAGCAGCATGGGTAAGAGGAGCTAATAAGACAGAAGGAATTTGCTATATATACATTACACCCTTGAGTGGGGGGAGAGAAGGCAAATTAATAATTTGACAAAGTTTAATATTAAGGAAAGCACAGTAAGGGGTAAAAATACTGATACTGGTCAAGAAAAGCCTTGGGAACAAACCTAATTTATTGTGATTTAAGTTCTATGTTTTTGTCAGATGTAGTGTAATGTTTCAATATATGCTTACAACTCTTTTTGTGAGTGAGTTCAACCATCTTTAAATAAAAACATTTAAAGCTAAGTTTTATCTGTATGTAGCATGTCCATGACCTTTCTTATCATGACATCCTGAACAATCTACTATACCAACGATTTATGCATCCTTTCTACTACCTTGGGTCTGACTAGTACATGGATGGTTTAAGGTATAGATTTAAAATACATATTTGTGCAGGTTTTATGCAAATACTGTATAATTGTATATAAAGACTGATGCTTCAATGCATGCAGATATTCCTAGGGGCTTTGAAATCAGTCCCCTGCATAAGCTGGGAACACTGTGTACTGTGAACAGATAGAATGGAAGTGTTGCTGTACCCATCACTTAAAAAATTTACTATGACTTTGTTATGAAAGCACTGTACATCTAATGAGGTGACGTTTTTAAAGCTATCTGTCCGGCTTCCTTGAAGACAATGGATTGTAATATGACCATGGTTGAAGAAAGAACAGAGATGAGGCTACTCCAATTGACCATCAAAGGCAACTGTATAGATTAGCACTGGAACTGTGGTCTCAGATAAAAGGAGATCCATTCAGAGAGTATTTAAAAAGCAGAGCTGATAGGAATTACTCATAACCCAGGTAAAGGGTAGGGATGATGGAAAGAAAGATAGAACATAGTCATCAAAATGCATAAAGAACAACCTGATTGGATGATAAGGCTGTATCTTAAGACTGGAAAAGATGGGGAAGGAAAAGACTCAAGAGGGAGATAAAGACTCTGCTATCAAGTGTCCAAAGTATTTTCAAGCTTCTGGGTGGAGACAGCCAGTTAGCGTTCTCTTTTTGTAGACCTACAATTCTTAGCATAGGCCAACACATGACTAGATCCAATGTCTTCAAGACATCGAGTAGAGAGAGCTGGGGGTGGGGGGCGTGGACTGAGATTTAGAACTGAGAATGATCTCTGGCTGGATATGGATACGACATTGAGAGATCTCGCCCCAGGAAGCATCAGAAAACTGGTCAAGTGATGGGACAGTTATCAGATAACACTGCCATCATGAACACAAGGCCGGAGTTTTTACAGAATACCCAGAGGTGCCAGATATTGCTAAGATAAAGACTGAGCTGAGAGAAGTGTGTGATCTTGCACATCAGTGTGGCAACATGGACAACATGACAAGAGATAGACCTCTCCAAATAACATATTCAGAAAAATCAATGCAAAACTTTGTAAGTAGCTTTTCACTGGATTTCAAGAGAAATAAAATTAGAGAACATCAGAAAAATTTAGATTACACTCAGACTCCAATAAAATTAAATTTAAAATGTGCTTGTAGAACAGTAAAATCAGAAATACTTAGAAAGGTGTTGTGTGAATACTTCAAAATATTCTCAGAATACGTTGAGGAAGAGCAACCTTGGGATAAGTGCTAAAAAGAACGACTAATTCTTTAAACGTTTTTTTCAGAAGAAAGCAGTCAGTGGGGGAGTGTCTCACATCATTGAATCAATGTGAGAGAAAGCAAGAGAATGAAATTCATCTCTCTGTCTTCCTCCTCTCTGTCTGATGCTAGAGACTGAACCTGAGGCCTCTGGCATGCTTGAGCTAATACTGAGTTCCATCCCTGGCCTCCTGTCATATCTCAGCATGCGGCCTACACTTGACTCCCACTTTGTGCAACTCAGGGTTTGCATTCTTCTTTCTGAATAAAGGAAAATAGAATTCTAATGGGAAGCAGTGGACTAAAAGGAAAGCTGTGAACATTCATCATGAGCACAAGAAAAGGGGGAGGGGGATGATATCGAGAGCAAACTCAGAATGGCAGCTGAGACCTAATGAGCTTGATATATTCAAGAACCTGAGACCAGCGACTGGAGAGTAATAAGTGGGGCCACAGGGAGCACAGGTGAGCTTGGCATGCACTAATGGGAAGCCATTGCTGGGATTGGAAAAGATCAAGAAGGATGACACACAGGAATCTTTTACCAGAGATGTTATAGACATGGCCTCCACTGGGATATTTCATTAAATGCAATCAAATGGTCTTCCAGTTACATTAGAAAGCTGTGATCAAACATACCTGAGAACATAGCATGTAGAATCATTGGTAGTCTAGATAAAAATGTAGAAGTGATGGCAAAAATGTTAGTTATAAGATATAAAACATATAAAAGTATA